TTAGCTAATGCTTCTAATGCATCTTGGGAGCTAGCTGTAGAAAATTTTTCTAATCAATTTGATTCAGCAATAGAAAAGCTAGCAAATGCAACTTCCAACCATTTTGATAGGATTGAGGAAAGAATAGATGAATTAGCTTCTTACTTTGGTAGAATACATGAGCAATTGAATGTATTGTGTGAAGTTATTTTCTCTAATAATTTGCAAAAAGATCCTAGCATGAATGGTGGGAATATTGTATGTGAAAATGGGTTGCATGTTGATCAAAATGATGATTCTAACTTGTGTTTCAATGAGGAAATGTCCATTTCACATAATAATATCTTTGGAGCTAACTTTGAATCTCAAGAGATGAGTTTTAATGACTCATTTTTCACCGCTCTTGAGGAGTGTATAAAAAGTACAGGTTTTAAAGGTATTCCTACCCAAGATACTCTCATGGCATTTCCTTTGATAAATTCTCAAGTGGTGCATATTCAATTTAATATCTATGAATCACTTGAGATAGGTAAGTCACTTTCATTTCTCACATTATTAGATCATGTGACTTTTGCTATAAAGTCACCATTTAATGATCCACCAAGGCAAAAAAAGGTGGATTATTCGTTAACTAAACCTCCTTGATAATGAGGTGATATAGTCAAGCTAATGACTATAAAGAAGTGCTAGTTGGGAGGCAACCCAACGATTTCTTATTTTTAGTAAGTTTTAGTTGTTTAATCAGTGTTTTTGTGTGTTTTGTAGGTGGCAATGGCAAGGTTTCATGCAAATGATTTCAATGACAAAAGTGTCTATATTGAGGCAAAAAGGAAGTTTTCATGTTCAATTGCTGCATTTCATGCATTTAAAGTATTTCATGTTAAAGTTATATTCATGCATGATCATGTTAAATTGGATTTTATTCAAAGAATATGAAAGCAAGTGGATACTAGTAGAATACGGAAGGTTGGCCAAGCAAATTTGGAGGAAAATCTACAGAAAACAGCTTTTTCTGCAGCAAATTCGGCCATAAATCCGGCAAAATATTGGCTGGATTGAAGGCCGAATAGTCAGGGGAGAACGAAAAAAAATTTCTGGCTCACTGGCCAGAATCCGGCCGGAAATACGACCAAAAACTTGCTGGATAGGAAAAAAAATACTGTAGCAATCCGGCCAAGAATCCGGCCGGATATGTAACAGCCAAAAAAAAAAAATTCTGCCCAGAATCCCTCCGCAAATCCCTCCAATTTCTGGCCGGATTATGAACAGTAACCAGCGTAAGATGAATCCGTTTCACGGATTCCTCACAATTTTTCTCCCTTCTTCTTCAACCCAACTCACACACTAACACCTCAAACATACACCACTCACTATAACAACATTTTTCACCATTTAATCTTCAAATAACCTTCACCAAATCACTTTCTCCCATCCTCTAGAGTGAATTTCATAGTTCATATTCTTTCAAAAACAACTTTAAAGTGGTTTCAAGCTTACCGTTAGTGAGGGTTCTACCTTCTTGAAATCACTCAATTGAGGTCAAATTGGAGTAAGTTCTTGGGGGTTTTCACATCATATTCATCACTTAACATCACCAAACCAATTTGAGGTAACAATTCTTCACCTAACTTTGTTCTTTGAATTTTGCCATGATTGAATATTTTCTATTTTTAGACAATTTTTATATGTGAAGTTAGGTGTATTTATTTGAGCTTATTGATACTATTGGTGATTGTTAGTGATAAATAAATTTTGTGATTTGCATTTATTATATTTTTTTGGTGAATTCTTGCTAGTTTTATGCTTAATTTGGCTTGGTGACAAAGTTGCATATTAAGTGGCCAATGTAGCATTTTAATTAGCTTAGTGGGAGTTTTGATATTCATGTGAGTAATTTAGATTACCTAATGAATGAAAAGGTGATTGGTTGAATGATTTCTTGAATTCTTAGGTAATTCTAAAAGAAGAGGTGAATTGAAGATGGCCTTAATTGACGTAATTCATAAATGCATTTATAATTCTTGTAGTTCAATGGTTTTTAGTAAATTCATGAATTCTCACGAAGGTCATTTATATTTTGGTTTGGTTTGGTGTGTTTGCCTCCATTTTGAGATTACTTTTGTACTTGAGGGGATTTGATCATTGATGACAAAATGTATAAATAGAACTTACTTTGTTCGTGATGGTGGATTTATTGTGTGAAATTAGTAGGGATGGCAACGGGGCGGGGTTGGGGCGGGGGACCCCTCCCCCATCCCCCGCCCCGCTGCCTACAAACTCCCCCCGCCCCCGCCCCGTCCCCTGCCTCCCACTCCCCCCGCCCCGCCCCGCTTCCCCCGCGGGGGCACCCGCGGGGTTAATAAAATTTTCTCCGTGGGGTTAATAAAATTTTATTATAGTTAAATTTTAATAAATAATCAAGTACTAAAATATCAACACATCGTCAAGTTATTATTCATTTTAATTTTACAATTGAAACTCATAAAAACAATCAAACAAAAGTTATTTGAATACAATCCAATATGATGAAATAAATACAACTAAAATAGTTAAGTTTTCACTTTTGGTACAAATACAATCACTAATTCATTATTGTGTTTGTGTTTTTTTTTTGAGAAAAAAGTGTTATTCTATTAAGTGTAATTAAAAATTTAGTATAAATGTATTAGTAAATTTAGTATAACTAATTAATAAATTCTATTAGTAGACATATCTAATTATTCGTATAATTGATAATATCAATTATATTACATACACTAATATACATTATATAATACATCTAACTAATAATATCATTAGCATAAGTTTATAACTAATTAAATTACATATTATATATAATTATATATATATATATAATTTTTTTTTGCGGGTGGCGGGGCGGGGGAGTATACCCCCGCCCCCCGCCCCGTTTCTAAACGGGGGGAAAAAATTCCCCCCCGCCCCCGCCCCACCCCTCGCCCCAACCCCCGCCCTGAGAGCCCCCCACGGGGCGGTTGCCCGCGGGCACCCGCCCCCATTGCCATCCCTAAAAATTAGCTTCCCTTTGCTTTGGATACTAATGAATATATTTGATTAACAAAGATTAGCTCATTTCATGTTTTTATCCCTTGAACATTGTATGGTTTCACATGTTTGATCATTTTTCCTTTTTCCTTGAATTGCATGTTTTCTTCTTGTTGGTTGCAACCTTTTATTCTTAAGAAATTATTTTATTTTGATTTTGTCTTTTTCAGGGTGCATTAATTGAACTCTCCATTCTTTCTCAAACAAAGTTGGAAATTCATCACTTGGCCATGGATTCGGATTGCGCAAGTTCAATTGAGCAGTATTTTCTTTTACTCTTTATTTATTTTCCTTTTCTCACATTAAGGACAATGTGAAGTTTAAGTGTGGGGGAGGAAAATACTGGACTTACATTTACTTGCCATGTGATGATATTTTGTGAATTTAAATGCTTAGAAATGTTGGAATTGTGTTTCAATTATTTGCCATGTGGATAATTTGCTTGAAATTGGGTTTGTTGGCAGGGAGTTTTCATCCATTTATAAGGAGAAACTCTGTAAAATTTTTTCTAAAATCTTTTTCAATATTTCACTATGGCCCAAAAGTTCTTCAAATTTTTGCATTTTCATTCAAAAGGGCTAATTTGTTCCAACTTTAAATGTTTTCCAATTGTTGAAACTTTATGTGTATTTTGGAAGGTTTAGTCCTCATTTAACTTGGAAATGATTATTATGCAATTAGGATTTTTTGCATTTTAGAAAGTATATTTGGTAAAGTGAAGAAAATTATGCTTATAATTTTACATGTTTAATGAGATTTCTTCTCTTTATTTAATTTTGCAAGTAAATGATTGATATAGTCAATAAAAGCTATACTCCTCCTTTGATTTAATTTTCTATGAGGAAAAATCTATTTATTTTCTGATAAAAAGAAGAGAGTAATAAAAAAAAAGAGAAAAAAAAGAAGAAAAGAAAGTAAATAAAAATTGTTCTACTCCAATGATTCTCGTACCGAGTAACCTGGGATTGGTATTTACAAATGTCGACATTCGCGTAAAAAGGTATTTGAATTAAGAGTTTGCATAGCAACTTGAATAAGTGAAATGTTGAGTAACCGGAGATGTTCACCTAAAAGTGTCGATTTTCGCGTCAAAAGGCATTTTCACTATTTAAGTAAAATTAGTGTGAATAATACCTCTTAGTTGTAAAATAATAATAATAAAAAAAGGATGATTATAGGAGGAGAAATGTTATAAATTGTCATGTGATTTGCTTATTTGTGAAATTAGGTTAGGGTGAGAGATTAAGTTTAACTTGTTAAATTAGGGTATAATTATCTTTCCTTTACTTGATATTATGAGTATTTAGTGTAATTTGAACAATTGTATAATGATTATTTTCCAAGTCTTGAGGAATTAAATTTGACAAAAGTGCATATATTGTTTCACCTCTTGAATCATTGTAGTTGATTATGTGTGGATTGCTTGAGGACAAGCAATGATTTAAGTGTGGGGGAGTTTGATAACACTACAACAAAAATGGCCTTTAACGGCATTTAAAAGTGTCAGTATAGATAATCTAACCTGACACTTTATCTATCCTCACACCTAGGGCGAGTGTTGTCCCTTCCAATGTGGGGATAGACTCATACTATTCAACATGTCAGGAAAACTATGCTGTTATAACATCCCATCTGCCAACAAAAATCCCTTTTCTTGATAATTGAAAGTGTCAGGATAAGTATAGTACAACATTAGAATATCGTATTCTATGCTGACACTTTTAACTGCCAGGAGTTTTTTTATCTTTTTTTTTTTGATATAGAAGCAACCTGCAGGTAGTGCTCCCTGCTATACATTCCGTCAATCAGAAACCCAAAGGACTTGTAAAATTATCCCAAAGAACAGAATGCATATAGTAATCTAAAAGCAAAAGTCAATACTCAAATATAATTTGTTGAACTAAAAGTAAGTAACAAGTACTAACATAACAAATCCCTAACAAATACAAACTTGAAAGATTCTCATGTGCACTAACTTAAAAGATTCTCTTGTGCACAAACTAAAATATTCTCATCCCTAGCAAGTAGAAAGAACTTGCAGTAGCTTCCAAACTTTCCAATGAAATGAGAGCCTTCAGTCATAACCTGATATCTTTTGTGAGCCATCATTATTCTGCAAAGAAAGACCAGAAATAAAAAAATAAATTAAAGATATCAGCACCTAGCAATTATGTTCTAATGTAAAGTAACGATACCAAACAGGATTCATTTCATTCGAAATAAAGTTGATTGCTGAATAGCCAAATTTTGGTACCAAGCAAGTTTGCAAAACTTAACTGGCAAAAGCAAAGGTGATAACGCAGGTTATATTTTCTTGTATATCAAAAGGTTTTGGAATAACACACTGATCCAGTTGCCATCATTGCACTGAAATTTCTACTTGCTATCACCAAACATACTACTAAAGCAGCAAACATACTAAATAAAGAAGAAGAATGACCAAAAAGATAGATGTCATGATTGAAATTACCCCCCTTTAGAAGACTAGAATTTATGAATCTAGATGTAATTTTATCCTTTGGCTTAGCAATGAATTCGAACGTTTGACATAACAATCTGGGGAGAAAATGTGAAAAAGCAATACCTCTTCTTTGAAGTTTAGATCATAAGTCTTGTCTTTACCATAAAACTCAGAAGCAGCCACATCCATCCCAATCACAACCTGCAGCAATTTCAAACTCTTCAAACTGATTTCAATACAGACTTGTTGAAATAAACCATACCACAGACAAGCACCCATCAAATAAGTTCAATTAGGATGTTCAAGAAAGCAATGGTGGACCAATGCCAGAAGTACCATTCATTTTTTAGGCAAATATCTCACTTCCATTCTCACTCACCACTTCCCTTTATTCCCCAACGTATTTAGCCAAAGAGGGGAAAATACCAAAAAACAAAAAAAAGCCTTCAATTGAGTGTACAGATGAGTTTAATTGACAAGCTTATGTAGCTTAAAAAATTGGATAATATGAAAACTAGCAATAAATGAAGTCCACTAACCTCTAACCGAAAGGCACGTTCCTCATTGTTTCCCTTCTCTGTGCAACATCTTAATTGCAGCCACAGTGCCATCACTCAAAATCCCTCTATACACTACCCCATACCCTCCATTTCCTATCACATTTGCTGCACTAAATTTGTTTGTTGCAATCTCAAGCTCTGTGTAAGTAAAAACTTGTACACCCCTAAGCTTGGATGCAGCCTGCTTCCATACAAACATCCGCCTTTGACATCTGCTCCATTTTCACCAGCAAAACATATACCCATAGCATTCAAGAACAGTGGAACCAGTATAAACATCCATTCCAATACTTACTTTACCAGTGTAACCAGCTTTAGCAATAGCTGTTTTAAGCAATTCAAGACCTTCCTTGTTCTCCTGAAATGTCAAAGTCACAAAGTTGTAAAATATATGACAACCGAATTGAACAATGAACAGGAAGCATATTAGCAAAATGCCATGAACTAACCTGGATATTAGAGCAATGTCACCCTCATCACCAACATTTGTTGCATCTTGGCCATACTTCTTCTTAATTACAGACTGAAGAAAGAGATCAGCAATAAACAAGCATATGTCAAAGCAACAGAAACACATCAAATGCGCTCACAGATATCAAACATTAAAGTTGACCACTAAAAGCAAGCATATATACTCCAAAAAACATGACTTCTATTTTAAGTTCAAAATAGAAGTCATCTCTAAGAAATCCCCACAAGCAGCTTGATATGATAAAAGGAAATCAATCAAACGAACAAGAAATGTAGGCCACTAACTCTCACTCCTCCTCAGCTATTTGCCCCTTCTCACTGACATAGATACCATCAAGGAACTTCCGGATATCTTTGTTCTTCACATGGCATTTTTGTCCACAATAAGAAAACGTTGTATATTAGCTATCCAGCCAGATGAACTACATTTTAAAGACAAGTGACAAGGAACAAAACTTGTAGATTCAAATGTCATAAATATGGCACAGAGTGACTCTTACTTGGTTTATCAGGGCAGCAGATCGGGAAACAAGCTCAATGTCATTGCTATCCAACACCAATTCATCCTTAACCTTCTCAGACCGGATAACAGTGACTTCTTCAAGCATATCCACCTTACTCACCCGATGCAGAAAACATCACACATTACAAAATGTTCCCTATCAGAAATTTCAAGCAATCTCAACATGCATAATGGGGGCAACCCAATGGAAGCAATTCCACAATACCTCTCATAGTCTAACAATATTGGTCTAGTAGAAAGGTTCAACCATGACCCAGTCAATATTAATTAGCCTCAATAACACTGGTCTACAGATGTTGCAGCAGAAATCCTCGAAGAAAGAACAAGGCAGAAAAAAAAAGAAAAAAAAAACCAAAATATAGTATGTTTGGTAAAGGAAAGTAATTACTTCATTTAAAGTCAAACCATAATGCCAATAGCATCTACTACCCATTTCTATGAATTAAAGACGCATATAGTATTACTAGCACTAAAACTATTACCACGGATCTCCAATGACTAGTGAGACAAACAAAATGATTCCAAACGCAGTACAATCACATAACAACCAAACAGGATACTAAAATTGACAATGTAATCAACAGGTAAGCAAACCAGATAAACAATTACCGAGCAAACCCAGATGAATTATCTAGCAACCTCACACAACCCAACCACGAAATGCCCAAGTTGGGGATCATTCTGGCCTTAGTTGGCTTAATTCTCAAATTGAAGGGTCAAAAGCATCTAACAATAAGCCTAGAAATGAACAGACACAAAGCACTGGTAGTCTGGCCCATAAACTCTACTCAAATACACACTCAAACCAGAGGGAAAGAGGAAGAGCTCCTCCGCACAAGTCTAAGTCCTCTTACAGTATCAAGAAATTCTAATCAAATCAACAAAATTCACATGTGTGAAAATATAAAAGAAATCAGAAATAACAAATCTAAAGAGATAAGAAAAGACCCAAATATTCATCATGCTAGTAGAATAGTAGATACCTTCTTCTCACCAAGGAAGTTGCGGATCTCAATAGAACGGTTGGAGTTGGTGATGGAGGCGTTGATTGGGAAATGTGCATAGACGAATCTCATCTTGTAGCAGTAGCCCTTGGTAACGTCGGTGATGAGGTTCTCGACGTGGCTGAGGGCAGTTCGAATTGCGGCAGTGGTCTTGCAGGAGCCGAACCAAGTGTCGACCTTGAGCTTCCTCTTTCCGGTGACCTCATCGGTGATGAGTTGGAAGTCGAGGTTGAGATGCTTGAAGTTGCGAGTAAGCTTCCTGCGTGGTCCCTCCACCTCGATCTGCTTGGCTTTCATCTTAATCTTAACACCGCCAGGAATATCCATAGTCTCCAATGCTAGAATTGTCTTCATCTTGGACCATCGCTCACAGTAATTCCGCCTCTTCTTCTTTTTCGGAGAAGTGCAAAAGATTGGCAGCCAAAAAACCCTTACAAATCCATGAAGTTGAAAAGGGTGTTTTGGCCCGCCAAAATCAAACGATGCCGTTTTGTGTCTTTCTTTTTTTTTGGTACACCTCACATTTTCTCAAGTGTCATGTTAAGTAGTCTAAAGGCACATTATTATTTTTATATCTGATAAAATAAAAAAAATTAGGGTATATATTATTGAGTTGATAATAAGTGTCATGATAAGAGTGCTATAATGGCACAAACCAGCAAATGTCCTTATAAACATGTCAGGAAAGGCCATTTTTGTTGTAGTGTAAGTGACTAATTTATGTAATAATTGTATAAAATTTTATATTATTTTAGTCACTTTGGTTAGATTATTGGAAGAAAATGAATCATTTTGGCTATAATTGGTGAAAAATGCTTTTAAGTGATTAAATGAGGTTTTTATCATTTTTACTTGGATTTTGTGCATTTTGACAGTTTTGACACATTTTTGTATTTCGGCTATAACTTGAGTTATAATGATCGGATTGAGATGATTTTTAAACCAATTTGAAGATAAGAGATAGATCTACAACTTTGGTGAAGATATCTGAATCCAGTTTGAAGGTTTTCCAGGTCAAAAAGCCAAATTACAGTAGCTAATTTCTATTGGTCGAAGCTGAAACAGGGCAGTGAGCAGTCAAGGGTATTTCGGTCATTTCTCAACCTACACAGATCCAAATGAGGTGATTCTTGATGCATTGGAAAGCTAACTGAAAGAGCTACAATTTTTATGTTTTGGTCAAGAGCTAAATCAGCTTTTATCATCAAGAAAAGTTCAGTTGAAGTTGATACAAAATAGGAGCAGAGCTGGAAATTGAACAAAAGTGCACCAAAATGTCACTGTAGCAATCCGGCTGGAACTTGGCCGGATTTCTGGCCTGATTGTGGTCAGAGAAGGCTGCTCTTTATGCAAAAAACTTATTTTCACCTCCAACAAGTCACATGCAATGCCAGACATGTAAGAAATACTTTGCAGCTGTAAAAGGGTGGTGTAGGCCTTATTTTCTTGATTTCTTTCATCTTTATATAGCCAAAACTTGCAAGATTGAAGAGAATAGAGAGAGATACGGGAGAAATCTTGGAGTGCGGAAATGTAGCTCTTGCATTTTCTGAGTGTTAGGTTAGTTTAGTATAGAGTAAATGTAGTTCATCCATTCTTGTATATTGGCTAGATTAGGATGAAGATGTAGATAAAGAAGGAGGAGTTGAAGCTCAAATGACATGGGTTATCTCTTCTCCAACTCTTTATCTTTTGTATCAGATTCTTAAGTATAGTTAATATGCAAGTTTTGGATTTTGTGTTCAATATGTGTCTTTAAAGTTTATGCCTTAGGTTTGGTTGAACTTTCTATGATTGTTAGTGTTTATTATTTGGTTATTTGATTGTTATTATTTGAGCAAGTTATTTAGCACTTTGGCCCTTTAAATCATGATTAATCTGGTACCATTAATTGTGATTATCTAAGGTGTTGTTTCTGTAATGAAAATTGAGATTTAACACTAGTTCAAGAAGTGCTAAACATAGGGAGTACACTCACGAGAGTAGAGGTGCACCTATGTGGTTTTAGTGATTAATTTCATGTAATTTCATTAAAGAAATGAACTTGTAACTAATTTCATAACCATGAGAATAGGTATGGATTAGTTATGAGTATAGTTGATCACTACGAAAGTGGGTTTCACATGTTTAAGGAAATTACACCACAACTAGTCTAGATAGTAGTACTCAATGATCAAAAAATGGTAAGTGCATGAGTAGTTAGGGATACCATAACCTAAGGAGCTTTCATTTGTTATTTTGCATAAGTTCAGTAGGTTTCATTTCTTATAATACATTGATAGTCTAAATAATAGAGAAGCTTTAGTAGTGCCGGTAATTGCAATATTCCTTGTGGGATCGACCCTTAATACCCTATACTCGCTCACGATTCGTATACTTGGGATAAATCGCGTGTGGGGTATTTAGAAGTTTATAAATGTAAAACTTCATTGGGATGAGCTTAATGTTATATGTATACCCCGCGCATGTCACCTATGCAACAATGGTGACTTCTCTCCTATCACTTTTTCTTTTGTATTTAAGTTCATATTTAGCTATAGTACAAGTATGGTCTTTTCTTTCATTTTATCATGTTGCTAAAGTTTGTGTCTAGAGTCATGGATGAATTTTCTATATTTGTTTGTGATATTTACTTGGTTATTTGATAATATTATTTTTGAGCAAGTTATTTAGAACTTTTTCTTTTCTAATCGTAATTAATTGGGCATTAATTGTGATAATTTTAAGGTGTTAAGTTTACAATGAGAATTAAAATTTGACACTAGTTCAAGAAAGTGCTAAACCTAATGAGTTCACTCACGAAAGTAGAAGAGCGCTTTTGAGACTTTAGTGGCTTGTTCCATTTAATTTCATAGAACAAATGAGTTTGGAGTTAATTTCATAATCACAAGAGAGGTATGGGTTAGTTACAAGTATATTTGATTTACTACGAGATTAGGTTTCACATACATTAGGAAATTACGCCATAACTAGCCAAGATAATAATATTCAATTAACCGATAACTTCACTTGCAAGAGTAGTAAGGAATTCCATAACCCTAGAAGTTTTTTATATTGTTATTTTTAATATTTTTATTTCATGTTTGTAATTTAGATTTAATCTCTTGCATTTGTGGTAATCTAAATAATAGAGGAGTTCAAAAATCATTGTTAATTGACAATCTTCTCTGTGGAATCGACACCTAATATCCCTGTATTCAATAAACGATCTGTATACTTATTGAAAATAGAGTATTTAAGTTTTATTAAATTTAGTGCATGGTACAACTTCTTCAAGTTTTTGGTACTGTTGCCTGGGAAAATTTGATTCAATCTTGATATTAAGAACAACTTTATTAGTGTAGATATTTTTACTTGCTTTTCTTGTCTTTGTTGTGTCAAGTGTCTTATTTGTTGTGTTTGATGTTTTATTGAGTCTTTTGTTTTGTGTTCAATGTCTTGTTTTTGATTTATATCTTTTACACCATTTTTCTTCACTAATCTTGCTTTTAAATTGTTTGAAAGTATTTTTGGATTAGAAGGAGGATAGTAACCAAAAGATGATAAAAGCTTGAGAGAAGGAAGTTCAACAATGGATTACAATTTTCAAAACTACAACTATAGAGGTAACCAAAGGATGTCCGACGGTATATCTTTTAAAGATGACTTAAGGAGGTTAAAAGTTAAACTTGATTATATAATATTAAAAGTTCAATTGGACACTATTACAAATATACTTGAACGAAAGAGAAATGTTAATGCTTACAAATAAGATAATATGTCTCTTTTAAGATTTTAAAATATCCATATAACCTCTTGTAGTTTTATGTAAAGTGAAAGTAGACAGAAAGCATCTGTAGCTATGGTAATTGATCGAGACAAGCTCCAAAACTGCGTTTGATGTTATTATATGATTTTGTTTGTATCCACATAATTTACTTATGATTTTATGTAAAGTGGTTAGACCATTATTTAACTTAGTATTTAAGTAAGGGCAATATTAGTAATTTAATTAATGATGTTCTGGAGATTATGTTCCATCATTTCACAAAATAGCAATATTAGCCTTATTTAAATACTAAGTTGAATAATTTGATAAAAAAAAAATACTAAGTTGAATAAGGGTCTAACCACTTTATATAAAATTACAAGAGAATTATGTGGATACAAACAAAATCATAGGAAATTGAGTGAATTTTTATGCAAAATCAAAAGGGAATTAAGTTAATATTATAATTTTATCAGACGCACTTTTGGAGCGCGTCTCGATCAATTACCATAGCTAGAGATGCTTTCTTTCCACTTTCGCTTTACATAAAACTACAGGAGGCTGTATGGATCCATATTTTAAAATCTTAAAAGAGACGTATTATCCTATCGTAAAAGAAGAGGTCATTGCAGATTGGTCCATGTATATATGCTCATGATAGGCACAGGAGCAGTTTTGAATGAGCGGAAAGAGACGTGCGGGTAATATTCATGAATGCACGTTGGTTGTTTTAAGGAAACAATGTTTCTTGCAGTTTTTGATAGCATGTGATATAATTTGACCCTTAGACACCTCGTACGGCGAGGTCTAGCAGCCCCTATATTCAAATGCCAGTTGTCTAAATGAGATTAATGCATTTCCAAATAATCATCAATTAATTTTGTTCATCAATATAATTTTGCCTAAAAAAAAAAAATCATTTCAAAGAACTTTAGTGTTTGTAGCATATGATCTTGTGCAACTGCCAATGTGTAAACGGTGAATAATCATATCTGGGATTAGCTTTCATAAAACAGAAATGATTTTAATAATTTGATATAAGCTGAATTAACAGTATGCAAAAAGGTTTTAGAGATCCTCTTTTGGAAATTCCAAATGCATGCACTATTCAGATATAACATAGTCGTCAAACTTACTGTTTATTTTATTAACAGGTATGACCTATAACTACCCAGTTGCTTTCAGGTACAGTTTTTAGTGATTTCAGTTAAGAGCACATATTTTGGATTATTAAATTGTTTGGATTGCTTCATATTTTCCCAAATTTATTTGCTTACATCATCTTTACAATTTCCAATACACCTTTTTATCTTCTCAATATCTTTTTATCTCACATACATCACATCACAAAAAGTGCTACAGTAAAAATATCCCAAATAATCCCAAATAACTTACAATCCAAACACACCCCCGCCGTGAACCCAGCCCGGCCCGGCGGTTCAACCGGTCAACCCGGTGAACCGACCATGAAACCGGGTTGAGTTTGTGATTGGATCGTTTGTGCACCAAATCCGTTGACTTTTCAACGGACCGGCGGTTCAACCGGTCAACTCGGTTGGATCGGACGGTTTGTAAGGAACCCGGTTTTGGTATAAAAATGATTAGAAAATGCTCCAATGCTGATTCAAACCTCAGACTTCAAGCA